CCTTTGAAAAGCTAATCTAAGCCGCCCAAGCCGCCCTCAGCAGCTCTTGACTCAATTCCGAATCATGCGATGTTTGGCCAAGACTTCCACTGTTCGTGATGTCTTGACTGTCGTCTTGACAATCCTTGCTCAGGGGCTTTGTATCCTGGATGACCTCTGGTGGCCAAGGCACAGAAATCTTCCGCTTGCGTCGGCCTTCACTCGTTGGATCGACGAGCGGCACGGGTGGGAGGGTGGGACGGGCTGGCCGTCAACGAGCTAACGTAGACTGTAAGTACTTGTACTATCTTGTACTGTTGTACTATGTTGTACTTTCAACCTTCAACTGAGAGCGGATGGAAAAGGATTGGAAAAGGCACAGTTATTGTTTCAAATGATTTGCAGATGGACACTCTCGCGGGCAGGGAAAGAAGGAACTTGGGAAAGTTGGCGGTTTGAATTCACAGGTTGGGGGTATCATTGTTTGAAATTCTTCGGTGTAGTCAGCTGACAAATCCAACCATACATCAATGATGCACCCTGACGTTTTGTTCACACAGTATCCTGCCGTTTTCATGCTCATGTCATATATACGCAAGTATATACTGAAAGTTGTTCATCTGCCAAATCTTTCCCTGTTTGAGCGCTTCCATCAGACGCATTCGACCTGCAAACGCGTCGACGGTGTCAGGTTCCTGGCCGAAGCCTGGAGAGACTTGGGTGTGGCCCTGAGGGTCACCAGGTCACCAGAGGGTGATGAGAGGAGGGACATGAGACGACCAGGTCACTCCTTCCCCACCGCTCCCCACGAAACTTGAGGACTCATGTTTGCATGTGTGTTTTGCCAGAGACGATGCGTCCAAGCACGCACGCACTCGACGAGAAGGAAAACAGATCCTAATATGTGGGTTCAGTGATGCAGCGAGCCATACATGAAAACCGCAGCGAGCCGTGAGGTCTTTACGGGATGCGTGGAACAGGTGGATTTGTACCGCACAGCGGATGCCACGGAATGGGTGAACGAAATGCCTGCCAGGCATGTGTTGCGAGGAAAATTCCTATGGTTGGACCATCGAAGGTGGTGTAGGGTTGGGAGAAATCATGTTGGTCGTGAGGTCTGGCTGATCAATGAATGACTGAACAAGCACTGTGAAGCTCCTTCAAATTGAAACGACCCTTGTAACTAGGATTACACTCTCTGAAATCATCATGGTTACGTGGAGTTCACCACCTATTTGGTATCTGGAACATCGTCATCCCAGGGGCCGTGCCATCCAATTCTGTGATGATTTCAGGGAGCGGAAGAATCTGTAGAAGAAACATCCGGGCGGCAGTCGGCCCTTTTCTCTGCAACACGCTTGCGGCGGCATTTGACCTTCTCCTGGCTCAAGAGAAACAGTCAGGACACACCGGTTTTTATTCGATGCGTCCTACTAGAGGCTTCGAGTACCTGGAGTCTCAAAGTGGAAGTGGAACCTGTTTGTTGTTCGGGTCATGTCCCATGTTCGGTCGTACTTGAAGTTGGGTTCAGGTTGTTTTTCCTGTACCCTACTTACTGGTGTTTGATCATGAGAGTTTCGCCAGGGCCTGTCGTTCGCAAAGTGAACGCAGGGTTCGGAAGCTCAGGGGCTCGAGCGGCTCAGGGTTCGGATGGAAGAGCAACGAATGATCCGGAGCATCAGGCGTGTTTGGAATGAAACATGATGTTCTTCTCGCGTGAGATTAAAAAAGTACACAGAAAGAAACCTCACATTATCCATTTTGGAGTCGGACGGATTACCTACTATACATTCTAACTTGAATCGATGCATCGGTCAATGTCCCCTAGCGTCGCCTGGGCTTTTCTCACGGAAATCGATGATTTCCATGGATGGTGATGATGTTTGCTTTAAGGATATGTAGAAGGAGATGTAAATATATGTGGGCTATCGACACAAGAAGCATCAGGAGTGTTGACCGTCCCTCATGTAAATCATTGTACGTAATTTGCAAATAATGAAATATACATACCTTTTGATATTTTTGAGGTCACTTGGGCTTGTTTTTCAGGTCACTTAGGCACTCCAAAGAGGTCACTTTGAAGAAGCTGAGATGTCAGACCTTCACCTCTTTGGAGCAGTCCCCATGACCAGTCCCAATGGCGCCAATGACAGACTTCTGCGACGACAGACTTCTGTCGTCCTAGGCGGTGAACATTATCTCCGCACTTCCGCAGCAGAACATGGTGGAGATTAGGCGAGGCAGACTGCCGATGGCCTCACCTACGCCGCTACGCCCTTGGTTGGTTAAGGGGTACTCCCAAGTGTAACAACCAATAGGTCCAATAGATCTATGCTTGTTGGTCATGACACCCAGATACCTTGGTTGAACCTGGTGTCGGTCGTTCTCAAACGATGGACTGGAGCCCGGCTCCAGGTCTTGACTTGACCGATCCCGCTTATGGTACCAAACCGATTCCTCTGATTATTCCCAACAGGACATTGGAGACCTCGGCCCTCTGATGCCTTCCGCCACGTGGGTCGTCGACGACGTGGATCCGGCCTTCCGGAATGAGGACGAGTAATTCCCAAAACTCTGGGTTCGAAACAGCAGAGCATCCAGTTAAGCTGTTGATTGGATAGTCCTTTTTGGTGAAGAGATCCATGTGATTTGGTGAACGTTTGCAAGGTATGTCAAGACTGCAATACTGCACACAACTTCAACAAATATTTGCACATCTTGACTGTTGCTGATGAGATGCTGAGTAACCCAGTGAGAGTAGCTTGATGCCAAATCCCCAACCGAGCAACCCAGTGCTGGGAGAAGATGCGCTGACGATCTTTTCTCTTGTGAGGATCACAAACTCCTCGTTTCACAGACCTTTGCTCAACAGGGGTGTTAACTCATGTGACTCATGTTGACTAATGTTGTTAGTCTAGTATATAGATAATGAATTTGCGTTCACTGTACTTCGGCACTGACATTGGCTCGACCTGGAGCCCATAGCCATAGTAGACCCTTTGTCAGACCACCAACCACCCAAATATTTGTCTGGTGACACGGATACTAATTTGCTTGGTAATGTGGTTTGTCGCAAGATGCGACCACGCGGCTACCCGTGGCAGTTCTCCAGGGTTTGAGCATTTCCGCCTCCTCGTGGAATGGGACTGTGGTTTTTGAGGGGAAACGAAACGGACAAGTCTAGACTTTTTGGAAACGCACATCACATGATGAGGCGCTCTTCGTGAAAATCATCCCTAGCACTCAACTTTGAGCCGAGAGATTTTGCGAGCCCTACTGTAATTGCTTGTACACCCTGGGAATAAGGACACTTGGTTGTGCTACCACCTTACTTTATATTATAGGTCGTAAAAAACACAAAGACACTCCACACCGGTTGACTCACGCCCCCCACCCCCATTCTTGAGCGCGCGCTCGTTTGAAGCGCTCGGTTTGGCTTCCTTGCTTACTCGTCTCTCCCCGATCCGGAAGGGGTACCGACAAGTTGAAGTTCGTGAAGGGTTGGCACGCTTCGACCCGTGGACGGGCGATCGCGCGATCGAGGAGTAGAGACTGAGAGTGACGACTATGTGGTTCCAGTAGGGAGCATAACCATGACCTTGAGGCCTTGAGCTTAAGGATTGTGTGTGGGAATTGGATTTGGGGTGAATCTTTGGGAGAAGGACGTGGGCAGTACTTAGCGAGCATGTGTGAAAAGTGTTGACGTTGCAGGGGGAGAAACGAAACGGGACATGGGATTGCCCTGGTGGAAGGGATCCAACAGGCATGCGAAACTGTAGAGGTCATCGACTGCGGAGACCGGCTTCGCTTCCTTAGCGGACTCGCCTGGCCGATCGGAGCTGCCCTCGAAACGAAAAGGTTGCGTTTGGCGGCTTTGAGGGCACGGAGATCCTCTATGCGATACTTTTTGGGGTAGTTTTTACACATATTTTTACACGTTTAAAGTGTTAACATATTGTTGTTGTTAGTTGATTATACTGCGTATAGTCCCAATGTGTGTTTCAGACTGCACTGAACATAGACATACACATCATTGCACTGCTTACGAGGGGCCTTTTTGGTCGTTTATATATTCTTGTTCAGGCTGATTTGAGATGCGTACTCGCCGGGCGCCAGTGGCGCGTGTCAGGGCCCGTATGGTGGATGATCATGGCAACTGGTTGCTGGAGAAGGACAGGAGAAGAGTCTGGAGTTTGAGCTGACTGGGGCCAACAAAAAGAGAATTGCAACACTTTTCTGTCAAAGATTATGATTCCTTTCACTATGTTTCACTCATCAATCATAATACCTGCCAAAAACAATCCTAAGTGCGCTCTTATTTAAAAGATCCACCCCTCGAGTGGAAGGTCTTGAAGACTCCTCCGGTTTCGCTCTCTTCCGCAGGCCGCCAAATGAGGCCTCTCTCGGCGACATACGGCGACGGGGTTTTCAACCGTCGGACGTCCCCGTTGGACCAGACCGAGGTTGGTATACGACGCATCCAGAAGTTGGGAAGGTCTCATGCGAAAATAGCGCTGTGGATGAGGTGTTTGGTTGAACTGATATTGTGTGGCCAGGAAAGACAGCGCTAGCGATGTGTTATTTGTGCGGCTGTGATGCTGGGAGAGTTTACAGGTTTGGCCTTGGTCTGCGGGGTGTCGATTAAGCCCGCCAGATTGCGAAGAGAAAAGTCGTAAAACGTCGCAAAAGGGCTGCAGCTGCTCATGGCATGTGTTCCATAGCATGTGATATCCTGCAACTCTTTAGCCGCAAGCGAGCCAGGAGCTTTCCTACATTTGAGTGTTGTTTGTGGTGAATGTCTGTCAGGTTTAAACTATATACATTGTAGAGCAATTGGGCTTGATTTGAGGTTGCATTCAATGTTGGCGTCCTTCCCGGAACAACCGTTCAACTCCCTCAATTGATGTTACACCTATATATATATATACACATACAACATGTATATACATATAGTGAGACCTGGTCCCCTCCTCCAAAAGAGGGTTTGGGCTTCAACCGGATCACTGTAATTACCATGAGCATGCAAACAGTGCGTTTGGCACTTGAAGAGGATCAACATGTTGTTGAAAGACTGCATTCATGTGCCTCGTCGCCAACCTTTTGTCGCCTCCATTTTCGTTCGGGACGGCTTTGCATGAAGCCATTTTCGCTCAGTCCGTTTCTGGGCTGAAGCAGGGCGATGGCAGGGGTGGTGATGCTGTTGTTTGGTTCGGTTCTCGTCCCTGATTGAAGCCAAAGATTGCAATGATCCAACACTCACTCCTTTGCACTTCTGGCCTAGAAGCAAGTTGCGCAAAGAATTCTGAAAGGGTGCAGGCCCTTGAGAACCCGGTGATGTGTTTTTTGTGAATGTGTTGTCCTGACACTGTAATCGGTCGATACCTGTCTTCTCAGCTGCCATACCCCAGCATGCTAGCCCACATTTATATAAAGAAACAGTAATAAACATGAGTTTGCTCCACTGGTCACAATTTTTAAGGGGCTTCAATTCTTGCCGGCTCCAAGATGGGCTAGGTCCAGGTGACTTGTTGATAGTGTGCTTATTGTATCAGCCGGGTCTCCTCTGGTGGCTTTTGGAGACGTAAAGGCGCCAGATGGTGGCCTGTTGGAGGGTGCTGGTGCATACATATATGTATAAATATATATATATACAACATATATGATCATATGTGTATCATTACAGATCAAAGCCTAAGGGTGGGTTTCACATGTTGTGGGTGATCATGGAGGGAGATTCTAATTAGCAGCTCTTGGCCCTTTGTTGAAGGCCTGCACCCTTTGAGAATTCGTTGCGCAACTTGCATCTAGGCCAGAACTCCAAACACAAGAACAAAGACATCACCTGGTTCCGCACAATGCGTCAAAACATGACTGAGACGAACGGGGCATGTCCTTATTTATAGCTCATCCAAACCTCCAAGAATTGACATTTGAATACATTTGACCTACATGGAGACTTGACCAGCAGCACAATGACAGTGAAATAAACGTTTGCTGGATCAGGGCCTTCAGGGGGAACTCATCCACAGAGTGGATCTGCAAGATCTGCGAGATCTGGGCTGTTTTTTTCATCTTCCGGGTTTGTGTTTGGAGTTTCAGGACTCAAAAGCCTCCACATGAGGCCATAGAAATACATACATCCGGTGTGTATTTTAAGAGGGAGACCCCCTGACCTGACGGGTAGACTTGTTTATTTGCCTTTTTAGGGCTCATAATAGCTATGATGATTCATCGCAAGTAATGGACATCCATGAGTTGTTCTCATTACCTTTCTTTCTTACGCATTTCAACAAAAACGCTGAGTCCACCGCAAATCCGCCCTGCTGAGTCCACTTTTCCTTCGGACATCGTGGCCGCGGAGTATTGGCAACCACTGAGGTCATGGCACGGCAATTCCTGAGCCCTTCTGTCCTCGCCCGTAGCCTGGACAGTCCGGCGCGGCATTCTCTTGCAGCGCCCGGCCTTGCTTTGCGCCCAGCGCAAGGCCGGGTCAGGAGGAGATGACAGTTTGTCTGACAGGAACTGGGAATGAAATGGAATCGAACAGAACTGGCTTTGGGTCAAGACCAGGATACACTGACTGATTGGGAGGAACAACCAACTAGATGTGGTCTTTCGAACCACATGACATGGGTGTAGATCATTGGCATCATGGCACCAAGACATTGTGGTTGACCTACCGACGTCGCTCGATCATTCGCTACATGTTTGGATGCCTAAAAGTCGGTGCTAAAGAGTTTATACAACATGGCAACATTACTTTTGTGATGTGGCACGCAAGAGAAGCCCCCAGAACACCAGCTAGGCTTTGGTGCGCTAGGTTCCTTTTTGCCAGATAGTGACAGATGTGACAGCTATTGGGGCTCTTACTTCAAGTATAGGAGGAGGTGCCTGTGCATTGCAAGGTGCCGCTGCCAGATGTCTATGGCTTGCATGCTGGTGCTCTTCCAGGGTGCTGCTGTAGGGCGCTGCGCTACGCTGAATACAACGACACAGCACTAGGGTGCTACCCACAAGTATGGAAAACTCTTTGGGGGGTCTATGCTAGCGTATTTATTTGGATGATTCTGTTTCTGTTTAACAGAAGCTGTGATGTACATAGCGCTAGTAAGGCTTGATTTTGTTTGGTAGGATTTATGAGAGCTTGTTTTGTCCATTGTCAAGAGCTTGCTTTGTTCAAGGCAAAATTCAGGTAGATGTACAAGAAATGTCAGTGATATGGAAACATGAAGCGGCACGGCATGGCTTTCTGGATTCACACCGTTTTCGGGAACCAAGCTTCAGTAAACCAAACACATGGTGGCCCCTGCAAGGAAAGCCCGTGAAGGCTCCGCGCGACCATCCAACTGGGATGGCCGTGAGGTGGCGTAGGATGCCCAAGTCACTCCGGAGGAACCGATGGCGACAAATGCGAAATCGACACGGCTAGGCGGTGTCTCTCAAAACGCTCGCCGTCGAACCTGAATGGACTGGCGGTTGGACCTAATTAGTGTTCAACCGTCTCAAATGCTTGTCACTTGCATACTTATTGATTATATATGTGGGGGCCTATCTTTTGTCGGGGTGCATTTGTTCATTTCCGAAATGACTTGTTTTTTGATGTTTTTTGTTCTTCCCCAGGCGTGACAACAGACGGCCGCAGTCTCCGCCACACAGCCACCTTCGCCGCGAGCTGCGTTGCAGTAGCCCAGCCTGGCGGTGTCGTCGATGGGAGAAGCTGTGGACGTACACCTGGAGTCTCAAAGTACATTGGAAAATGGGTACGAGTACCAGCAGTTCCAAAGGAATGTTTTCAGGTCCCTAAGTGAGGGCACCCTTTCCTCTGTAATTCTTTTGTGGAGTGGCATTAAAAGGACCAAAAGGAGGCGTTTGGCTGCAACTGTTGTGCATTATCCTCTATTTGATAATCCAGAGAATGCCAATAAGAGGACTGTTCCCTAATACCTTGATAATGAACCAGACTTGAGGATGACTAAACCTGCACGTACTTTTATGATTGCGTCGAATGAACATATTTGCAGGAGGTCATCTCTCCATTTTCTAAGGTACCTTGAAGATTCCCAACAGTCCCTCACATACGCAGTTGGTTGACCACCTGCACAACTCTTTTTTGGGCAAAAAGAACCACGCCCCGGCTACTTTTCCAGGGAAACAGGTCCCGGGTGAACTTATATTTCGGTTCTTTCCCCTACAAGTGGAAGCCCCATGTATTTAATAGCCGGAATCTCGAACAATCCTTTGACTACATTTTACTAAGGATTATGTTTTACTAAGGGTTTTACCCTACAAAACCAGATCGGATCCCTCTCTTTTAAATGGTCGGAAACGCCGCACCTTCCAGGGTTTCGGTGCCGGCGGAACCCACAAGGCCACTGCGGCCTGTTCTTCCCGTCGAGATCGCCGAGAGCGCGCTGTTCGGCACGTGGCGATGGCTGCGGAACAGACCATTGAGGTGCGCCATGAGACCCTGAGCCCTAGTAACATAATAGTTAATATTATATACTATGTATATAACTATATATATATTGTATTAGTAAATTTTACTATATGTATTTTACGTAATTCATATACATTTAAATATATATATATATGTATATGTGTGTTGTTGATTACATAGAACGCCTGCATAATCAAAGTTCATGGAAGGAAGACAGTGGCTAAGGCACCCAAGACTCCATGAATACCTGTTGTGTTGTCATTTTCTTTGAAGCTGTTATAATGTCTCTTTTCCACGAGCAGTTATGTGTCACATAGAAAGTTGATAAATCTTGCAGTTGCAGCACATCCCAGAAGCGACCAAAAGGTTCCCTGTTTACTTTGTTTTTTCCGCCAGGCAGATTGAACACAGGGAACCACAGTAAGACCCAAGATCCATGTTCTTTGGCGTTTTTTTTTTTCCGTTGGGTGACGTAACACGTAACACCAGGGGGTTGTCCGTGAGTACACAGACATAGCGCCTTTGGGGGCCCTATGTGTTATGTGGTTGTTGACCACTAATACTAGAATAACTAGAATATCTGCACAACAGTTGTTCTTCTTCAGGGCGTTCGAGGTTGTTGCACTACTAGGGGGGCGGCGGCCCCTTGACGTTTGCTTCCATCCCTTTCGCTTCGGCATGAGCTGTGTGGAGAATCGAACGCAGTGGGTCGCTCTCAGCAGCGGGTCGGGACCCGCGGGTTTGGCCTCAAACCGCCTTGTGCGTGGAGGCAGAGATTCAGGGTTCAACTCTGCCGGGCAGACTCGTGAGTACATAGATGGAAGTCAGAATCAGAGGGCTGTGTTTCTTTTGAAGCTACCCTACTGTTGAGGATGATGCTAACGTCCAGTCGGTTCGTTGAGCACATTGTTTGATCCGCATGGATGGAACAGTGACCCTTTGAAAAACATGCAGTCAATCGCCATGTTGACTGGGAACCATCTATGGTTTGCACTCCTTTTCTCATGCCCCCAATCATTTATGTGAACTATGTGAACACCAATCTCAATGTGTTGCTGACCCTCAGAAAGGGCTGTCCGTGGTTTGTCAAGGATGTATAAATAGAAATTAATTGCATTAAATTGCTGAAGCTCTACTTAACGACTTAAGCTCTAGTTGCCGAAGTCCGCCCCAGCGGCGTCAACGGACAACGTCATGCACGTCTCAAAACTTTGTTGTTTCTTGCTTTGCTCCACCAGGCAAACCCTTACCTCAAGTCGAAAGTCGAGGCACGCTTGATCACGTTTGTGATGGACAGGTCGGGAAGATTGGAATAAGCCAAAGACACGTGCCGCATGGGCCTGTTCGTTTTTTGTTTTTGCTGTGAGAACCGTAGACCACAGCTGTTCACAGCCGTGTTTGGGTGAGTCTTGCTCCGTGAGGAGATGGTGGCTTTACAGCCTGTGATCGTCTTCTCCAAGTCCTGGTGCCCCTTCTGCGCGAAAGCCAAGGTGGGCTGCGATGTCCAGTTGCTGGCGGTTTCCTCCAACTCAGGGGGGAGGATTCTGTGCAGTTCTTTCATGGCTGGGGGACATGGCTGCGTGCAGGTGAAAGAGGTTTCACGCATTGTAGGTAGGCAGCAGGAGGTGTGAGATGCCTGACACACACATAATAATCACAATTACAAGAATTGCATGGATAGATCCGGTGTCCAAACCTGGCGTCCGCTATCAACGTGAGCTGTATGTTTGGGTAGCCGTGGTGTTTGGGTAGCCGTGGCATGCCGTAGCTGTATGCAGTGTACGGAGAGTAGTTCTATTTGGACGGAAACTGAAAATGGCAGCGGCTGCTGGACGGCTGCTTTGTGCTTTGCATGACCCGTGAGTGGCAGCGGTCGATAGGAAAAGCCAGAAGTGAGCAGCTTGGTCTTTCGGCAAAATGTGTCAATGTATGTTTAGAATATATTTACGTGTTGTGTGTGTGCGTGTGTTTGAAATCCAATTGAAAGAGATGGTATGTAAACCACACCAAAGCACACGGGCTGCCTGCCAGGCTGCCTTGGAGCAGGAAGGCATTCGTTTCGCTGTGTGTCACTTGGATGCGAAAGGTAGGAACCTGGCGCTCCAGGTCAAAACATCGACCGCAGGCTACTGGGTTGTGCCACTCTAAGAATCCGGACCTAGCCACCGATGGCCACTGACATCCTTCACCACTGATGGTTGACCTGGCTGGCTTTGTAGTCATCCGCAAAACAATGGTTGTCGGGTCAAGACCGTTAAAATGCTTGTTGCGGGAATCTGGGGGTAAAGTTACTCTATACATCACAGAACAAGAGGGCATTTGTCCAAGGCCTATTATGACTCGTCTCGTCATCCCAAAACAGACCGACGAAGGCGCCGAGACAGGGCTTGCCTGTTGCCAGCACATGTAGTGCACACATGAGTGTGTATGAAAAGAGGGAGACCTTAACAAAGACCCCCTGAAAGATACTGGAAGAAGGAAAATGGACTCAACCCATTGGTTGGGTGACCAATTTGACCCGCTATTAGAATACAAACCCTCATGTCTGCAGTAGAGTACAGTGCGAACAGCACATGTGTTTTGCCTATTGCGACGGGTCAGGCGTCTCAGTGAGATGTGACAATGTGGATCTGCTCGAGGTTACAGATTGACAAGGCAAGGTTTGCTCATGGTTCACCACAAACAGATTGACACGGTTTGCTCATGTGTTCACCAGGACGTCAATATTATGCATTGGATCATCTGTGATAAGCCCTAGTGGCCCTAGCGGCAGCCTGCGTAGCTGAACGCATTTCCGTGTGGAGATCCGGTTGCATCAGCACGAGTGCAGATATTAACATGCAGTCTTTGCATTGGATCCAAGTGGGAGAAGAACCGAAGCAAAAAAACGATCAAGACAAGACAATTAAAAGGGTGCAGCTCGGAAGGAATGAGGGGCACTTCATTCCTTAACCAGGGCCAGATGTGCAACCCTGTCATCACCCTTCCGCCGCTGGGAAAAGGGATGCCCGGAGGCAGAGGCCCGGACGGACTCACATCCTGGACTGGACAAATCTGAGGTGAGTTAGACACGCTTGGAGAGGAAGTTGAAGCTCAGGCCGCTGGGATGGAGAGGATTTTCTGCTTTTCGCATGGACAGCCTGGATCAGGCCCAGACATGCCCAGACACTCACTTGCACTTTGTATGGTACCCCCGCGGTCGAGGGTAGATGAAGGTAGATGACGGGCATGTTGTACATGTGTGGCATATGTTAGACCATTCAACCCACCCGACCCGCCTTGGCTCAGTTTGTTCCTCTCGCTATTTCCGAGAAAGCTCAGAGCAGCTCAGATGTACGTCACCCTTTGCGCGCCGCAAAAAGGGCTCCTAGACCAGGGATGATCCATTTTTTGCGGATGGAAAAGGAGGTGCTGTATTTGGATCCCTGTTGAAAGATTTTCGGGCAGATAGCATGGTTTTAGCTTGAAAAGGAGTATGACAGGGGCAACTCATAGACCGTGGGATGTGATTGTCCACCACATTGCCACTCCAGAAGACAGTAGTGCAAGGAAGCAAGAGTTGGGTAACATGCTACTGGGAACAGGATGGATGGAGGTGGGCAATGTTCAACACAGGTCAATCCTCTATATATATATATATATATGTATAACCATCTAAAATACACTATTGTTACGATACCAGTGTCTTGTCTAATCAATCTGATTTCCTAAGATTGGACCCCCAGACCGTCCCAGCTCCCCAAGAGTTGGCCTCCCCACATCTCGCTTTCCGAGGTGCAAGACATCCTTCTGGGCCTCACCGGAGCGCGCACGGTGCCGCGTGTCTTCATCGGTGGCCAATGCATCGGAGGAGGTGCGGCTTAGTGGGTGGCACCCACCCAGTGGGTGAGCCAGGTCAGTCAATCCTTCCTCCCAGGTTTGGTTGATTCGACCGGATTTCCTCCCGATGAGAAAGAACCGGAAGGCGTTCCAAACCATCCAACCCGCCAATCTGGCCGGTCTGGCGCTGGCATGAGGCCATTGGTTGGAGCTTTAGCGGAAAAGAATGGAAAACGGCTGTGGAGCTGGGTGATTGACCTCTGGAGCTTGGTCGGTGACCCGTAAGGCTTTCTTGCGAAAGGAGAACGAAAGGAGTGGTTGCTGCCAAAAAACAACGTGTCAAACGCTCATGTTTCCTGTATCAACGTATGTTCGTTTATGTTCATTCATGTGTTTTGTTCATATCTTTCTCAACTCCCATGTTCCTTTGGAATCATTTCAGATTCGAAGAAAACACGCTTGGCTCCCTCCGTGAGCGCACAGGCACCGACACGGAGCGCCTTGCTGGTGAGGGCACCTTGAAGAAGTTGGCAGGCACTGCTCGGGTGTTTCGAGTGTGGGGCGCTGCGCTGCGGTGGATGGGCACAGGTCCCTGACATCCAGAGGTCTCTGATCTACTCCACATGTTTCAGGTGTTTTCGGTCTCCAAATGTGTTGTTTTGTTGAGTCAGGAAGAAGTGCCGGTTCTGTCTCCATGTGTTTTGTAGCGCACACGAGAAAAAGCTGTTCTGGACACGGGGTTCCCGGACTTGAGAAGGTGACCCCACTGGTTTTGCGGCAACACATGGGGGAAGACACACCAGGAACACGTATACAGACACGTGAGTTTTCCTTTTCCCAAGGCAAACGAGTTAAGAATACCCGCATTCTGTCCCTGTCTTTTCGACATGTTCAATAGAATCGGGGACATGTCCATTGCTTGATGGATCAGATGCCCGTGGGAGAAAGATCGAACAGTTGCAAACTGGACAGGCGACCCAATCCATCACACAGACCTTATACAGTACATTCCTATGCAAACGAAAGACTTCTGTGATGACCGACAAACCCTGCAAGCTTCAGTGTTTCCCGACACGTTCAGTGCCGAACGCCATTTTCCGGTCATTGGTGGTCTTCCAAAACCGAACCTTGGAAGGTCGGAAGGTCTTGGGCGACAGCGACCAGTGTTCTGTCTCGGGGAAAGATGATGCGCCAATGCGCCTTTCAAGAGCCTTACAACGACCGTCCTGGACACTGTGTACATGTGTCGGGTGTTCTGTCTCGGGCTGTTGGAGGATTTCACATTCGCATTGGGATGATCATTCACATTGAAGGATCATTATATATATATATATTGAAGTCAAGACCCTGAAACCACGGGACTGTTTTGTTGTGTATATGTGACGTATCCCTGCAGCACCAGCTGCTGGTGGTTTGTTGATGTTATATAGTTGTTGTAATTCAGAAAAATGTGGAACATTTTTAGTAGTCTTATAGCCATGTTCAAGTGGTTGGATAATATAATATATATATATATATGGGAGTTGATCGAAAACCCCGTGTTAGGAGTTTTATATAAACAGCCTTTCAGATGTTGTTAGAACCATCCGCGAAAGATTCGCGATGAGGTTCGCGAAAGTATCTGTTGTTTTTTTTCCGCGAAAGATTTATCGAAGGTCATCGCTTTCATTGTTTTCCTTTCTACCGGACTGACAAAGAATAGAAACGCAAGGCAATCCTCCGGCAGAGCCAGTGGGCGGAAGTGTCGCCATATGTCACAGACTAACGAACTGAAGCCTCAACATTTTCGTGACTAGCAATCTGGGTAGGCACAGCCCTGACAGTGAGGCAACGACCTGCAGCTGCTCTGACGGGCTGTGCAGATGTTTGCAAATGTTACGGCTTCCCGGGGAAAGCACCAGTGAAATTTCGCGAAAGATCCGCGAAAGCTTCGCGAGTGTGCCGCTAAAGTCTAGGTTCCCAGCTTGAGCCCCCCCCAACATTCCCCAAGCTGCATCACCCTGTGTTGGTAGCTGGCACGAGGATTGGGTTGAGTTGTGCCTGATTCTATTTGGCACAATTGTCGCACAGATGCTGCAAGTGACCCTCAGTAGCTGTTGAAACGTTCAACCATCTACTGGGGTCACGCTGCAAGATGTCTCTCCCTATTTTGTGATACTATGACATGTTCCGGCTCATGTTAGCTAGACATGTTTGTAGGACATTGCTTCGCGATGAGGCCGCGAAAGATCCGCGAAAGATATCTTTTTTTCCGCGATGAATGGCCATTCCAGGATGAAAGAATATTGATCAACCACCATATATATAGATATATATGTCAGGACCTTCAAAGTGACCTTTTGGGATGGTCACTTGGTCCCAGAAGAGGTCACTTACAGACTCCAAAGAGGTCACTTTGAAGGTCTGTGTGCTGAGTGTGCTGAACCAATCTAAGATCTACCTAGCCAATAAAGATCATCGTCCACTGCTGCAGCTGATGTAATGATGTTGCATGCTGCTGTTGCTCAACCGCAAAAGAAAAGCGTTCTTCTCCGCTCGAACGAAAAGGTGAAGCCATGGAAAACTTCAAGACCAAGCTCAGTGGCAAGGCCACCTTCGAGATGGATAAGAGCGACGAGGCGGCGGCCCACTGTGGCGAAGGCGGCAGTCACCATGTGTGTCTTGACCCGGCTTCAAACCTTTGAGCATGGGACACGACCCTGCGAAATCACGTATGACTGTTGTTCCATTGTTCCGAGGTACGAACGGGTCGACTCCAGAACATGGCAGATCGTGAGGTTTGGTCACAGTGTGGCCATTTTCAAGGGTTTGGCTGCTGTAATTGGGGCGGACTTGGTGAGATAATGGCTGGTTTGGGGCATTCTGTAGCCTGAAGACGTGGTGGTGAAGCAACACGCTTGAGGATCTGTGCTGGCCGGATGGCACCATGTATCGGGAGTCGGCGATCCAAAAGCCAAGAGAGGTTAAGTGACCTCAAAGGACCCGTTGCTGGCTGCATACCTATGGGATAGTCTATATATATATAGATGTCTATAGGGTTCTTCAACATCGTTTGGAGTTGAGGGGTTGTTTCTTTCGCTTGGTTCCGTTTCTTTGCTTGGCTCATTGCCCATTGCCTTCGCGAAATCCTCGGAGGAGTGGCGCTCGACCCTGGATCCCGAACGCTTCCAGATCCTGCGCCGGAGAGGAGGGACACGGAAAGAGTTTCAGTTGGCAAACAGGTTTTAGAAAAGACGTATTGAATTGCTGGGCGGGATCAGCAGTTGTCCGGAATTCTGATTGGTTCGTATTTTTTTCAAGGGGGAACAACACCATGCGAGGAAGCAGATTGACTTAGCAGATTGGGGGGGGCTAAATGGGCAACGCACCAACCACCGAAAATGATAACAGAACCATACACTCCCGAAAACGAACATGAACCCTGTGGTTGTGGCACCCGGGTTGTCCGACTGTTTTCCTCGGTCGCACGGTCCGTGGCAAAATCAGGGTCCGGATCGTGTTCAGCAGGGAAATTGGTTTAACCAAAGCCTGCTTTGGGAAATTGTCTCCCATTCACAGCTTGTTCAAGATGAGTGTAGTTGCAGGAAAACACACTTGCTTGGTGGGCGTCAGTACCAGCAACACGTGATAGACTACCTAGCAGGGCCAGCGAATTGTTAAACTATCAACATGCACGCCCTAAGATTGAGAATGGCATGTCGTCATGATCGCTAATACTCCTGCCATGCATCTTAGCATGTCCCCGAGCATTGCCCCAATATCTTTAGCACATTGATGGCTCGGGTATTTGGGGGAAGCATCTATTTCCAAACCCTCCAGGAATGTGAGAATCCAAGTTGGTGGACATGGTGTCCTGCACATGCTTTTGAGACTTGAACTTTGCCAAAAAAGAGTGTGACAGCACTCTACCAAAACAAAAGGGATTCCAAAAAACCGGGTGACCGAAAACAGTCCTTCGGTCGCTTCTACTTCCCAGTCCTCCCTGTCCTCCCTTCGCTCGCTGGCTTTTCTCAAAAGGCACCGAGATGCCGGGGTCTCATGAGTACGACAAGTTCCTGCCCAAGGCCGATCGGAAGAACAGGGCTGCCAGTTGGGGTCGTTGTGGTTCGTCTTTGGAACATGGAATGATCGATGTTCTTTATTTCAAACCGCCCTTCCTGATGGTCGGGCCGACAACTGATTTCGTGCTTGGACGCGATTGGCCACTTGATGTGCCCAGACGCTCCGAACAGAACCGAGGGATTTGAGACGCCAGATCCCTCCATATGAGGGTCCGACCCCTCCATATGAGGGTCCATGAGCGTCTGGGTGCTAGGTATTGGATCTGGGAATCGGTGCTTGACACATCGTGACACCGAAGACTTGGTCGAAGGTGGCCAGCGAGGGATGAGGCACCAGAGTCGCCAGGATTCTTGTTTGGAGGTGGTTCCATCAAGAAATGTCGACATGTGTGTGTATATATATTAACAGACACGGAGAGAGAGAGAGAGAGAGTGTTTGTTTGTACACATATGTATCATGTATCCACATGAGGACGTTTCATGTCTCATTGGGCACCCTCCCGGTGACATAGACCATGGACATGTCACTTCTTTGTTTAACAAATGTCCTTCTTTACCAAACACGGGCTGTTCATGTCTAACTTGCTTTCCGTTTATACTGACTGATGTTCTTTTTGGCAGAGACAGGAGTTGTTACGAACGAAAAATATAGGAACTGGTGCCCGAACCAATTGGAAGGCTTTGGTTCAGGTCCGGATCTCTGCAAACTGGAGGGCGCTAGCCCCTGCCAAGAGGTCGGGCCCAAAAATTCTGGGTAGGTATAGATGTTTCAGTCCCGTGGCGACTAGTAGAGAACCAGTGGTTCCAAAGACTAAAGCGTGGACCCCACGAAACCCTGCTTCTATACATAATGCCTGTCTGGAATCCACCTGGATTTGTTCCTCATCGGTTCCACCGCTTGGGACGACCCTCAGGCCGGGCACTTTTCCTGTGGGGGCTGCGGCTTGCCGCTCTACTCGGCAGGGTCCAAGTTTGTCCCTTGGGCGAGATCGGCGTCAGGGCAGCGGGAGACTGACCTCTTGACCACCAAAACGGAGAGGGATCTGGCCATGGAGGCTAAGATGGGGGAACTTGGCCCCCTGGAAGGAGATAGATCCTAGCCAGGGGGCCGACCTGATTTTGAAGGATATGGTTAGTTTGGAGTCCAATTTTGACCCAAACCCATCTCGACGTGTCGCTGTTTTCGGAACCTGAGACGTGTCACTGCTCAGGTCCAGTCTGGAAAAACGAAATATCATGTGGCCCCAAGTGGGGCCAGCAGAAGGAACTACCCCAATGAGTTCTCGGGCATTCATTGTTTTTTTTCCGCCACATTGATGCTGACCCGCCGCCCGCTTCTACCCGCTTCTAGGGGTTATCGATGTTATCGACACATGCCCCGCTGTCAAAATGCAAGCTAGAGTATCCTAGAGTTACCCTGACATGTGTGTGTCACACTCTGTTCCAAAGAGTTTCTGTTCGGTTCATATCGCAGGGGACCAGGCAGGATGCATCGTCGCCTGGTCAACGAAGCTGGCGATGCATCCGAGGATATGGAAATGGGACGTGATTTCCACGTACCTGCTAAAAACTGTTGTTTACGCTGTGACTCCACTTTTCCTTTTTTGGCTTCCATGGTGGTTCTTCGCATGATATCCCCCAAAACAGGTTTCCTTAGCTTTGGTAAAGTGCTAGTGAGTTTGTTAAACAGTTCTGTTCTTCGGGCCCTTTCGCCTTACCGTTTTTGCAGTAAAGTGCTAATGCAGTAACTAGCTTCCGCAGTCACGCAAAACCTTTGTTAAACATCTTCAAGTTTTTCGGACTCACTCGCCTTTCCGTTCCCTCATTCCTTTCTGCCTGGGAATTGATGTAGCTGCAAACCCATTGTCAAAGTGTGTGTGTTTTTCTATGGCTTTTATTGTGTCCTTCTTCCGAAAGGATGTAACTATAAAGCCAGAACCTGTTGGTTCTTGCTTTCTTTAATGGAGGTGAAAGCTCCATAGATGCCCACGGGCTTGGACAGGGACGGCTTTGTCCCACGCAGCTACACACGCCTACCGATGAGCCTAGGCATCGCAGTGTGGGTGGCCAGTATTCGACAAGTGTCGCTTGGCCTAATGCCGATTGTAGCAACCGGTGTTGAAGGGTGTATGTTACTCAGACACTCCATCTATGGCGTAGGTCAGTTTATATGCCACAGAATGCCATAGATGGAGTATATAGATGCATATATACACCTGCATCTTGGCGGCTTTAGGGTTCAATGTAGGTGTCGGCTGCCCTTTCCTGATAGAGGTTAACCTACTTCCATGAGATTCCCAAAAGGCTCCATTAAAGTAAATATCGAGAAATAGTATGCTACTTTTACCATGTAGATATAAGTCACACATACCTAGATGAAGTTATTGGGCCAGTATTGTTTGCCGTTAGTTTAGCAGATAAATTGCAGTTTCACACCGTTTTTCATAGCACTAGGAGGCCTGAATCACATATTTCTGGATAGTTCGAAACCCTGAGGCTTACATAATGTACCATATACATATTATATAGGACTCCTTGTTTGTAGCTTTTGGATATACATATATATATCTGTGTGTGTGATATATATACACGTATATATATATATGTTTGTTTTCGGTGGGAGATCCAAGTTTGTCAACAAAACCACTGTTTGTTTGCATCGTTGTGACATCAGTAGCTGCATGCGATTCAACCTGCAGCTTTCATCCTGAGATGAGTGACCATGACAAAGTTCCACCAACTATGGTTTGATTCTGTTTTTGCCCGATCAGTTGCCCGGAAGCAAGTTCAGTGGAGAAAACACCTTTGGACATAAGAGGGGCCAAGTCCAGAGCATTCCTGAACACCTGCCCATGTGACTCTCCCCATGTTCAGATTCATGATTTCGGGGCCACGAGGCTACTCTTCGAAAGATCTGGGGCAGCACGTGCTGGGCCAGTCTTGGGCCCCTACTGTAGAGGGCCGTGGAGAGGGGGGGGGAGCAAGAGAACCTTGGAGCAAGTATGGATTGTAAAGCCTCTTCATATGCATGGGGGGATTCTATTATTGTAATCAAGAGTCTACATTAAGGAAACTGAAGGACGTGTTTTTGACCGTCCAACCTTGAGGAACCGATAGGATCCAGAATCCAGAATACATTGAACACATGTCAATGGAGGTGCTTGGAGTGTCATGTGTCAGGGAGAGAACATGTCAACTGTGTAGAACCATTCTGCTTGGTTTCCCAGCAGAATGGCTGGACATCTCATGGTTTTGCAAAGTAAAGAAAGTAAATGTGAACAGTAGACTTCCCCAAGGCCTTTATCGCAGCTCGCTATATAGACTACACTATATGCAGTTGACCTTCTCTTGCTCGGGTTTTACCAAATCATCTTTGAATGGACATTCCCCATTCTCCATTGGGCATCTTTATGTTTAGCAACCATCGTTGTAGTTTGGATCTTGCCTGTTGGAGAGACACACACGACCTTTTTTGGAAATGTTTGGCAGAAAAGGTTGTAAAATCGTTGCGTCAAGCATCTTTTTCACCCAACATCAACCAATGTGGGCTTAAACCCTCTATTCAACGTGCACTAAGGCACTTCCAGACATGTCCTTGCCCCGTCTTCCTATGCCGTCCCCGCAAAAACTGCTCCACGGAATTCGTTCCCAGAGCCCGGTCTCCTGACCGCGCTCTGTCTGACCGCGCTCTTTCCCGCGCCCCCCGAGACGCCTCGAGACGCCCTCGCCGCGGCGTCCCGCGCCGCCTCGGCTCCGTGGCGAGGCCCGATGGCACCGGATCCCTGGAGATCGTTTGTGCACGCCTCTGGGCTCCGAACGCGGGGAGGAGGAGCGTTCGGACCGGTGGGGAGGAGCGGGACGGGGCCCGAGTCGGACGGGAGCGGTTTCGGCGGAATCGGAGCGCGGGAAACACACGGGGTGGTGTTTTTGTTGAAAGGAAGTGTGTAGCGTGAGTCACAGCAAAGATCCCGTTTCATGAGCAGTTAGAGCTGAGCAAGGATTTAGTCAACAGGTGTTTCAAAGTTGTTTTTGTCCAGGACTGGTGGTTTTTTCCTGGAGTGTTGAAGTATTTGTTGCAGTGATGTTCATCCGCTGGGGGGAACTGTTTCCTTCACCCCAACAAACATTTTCTCAAGACTAATATGGACCATGAAAATTCATCAAAACCACTGGCTTGTAGAGGAAAGTTGTCTTTCAGGGTGCCATTCTCAGGATCCAAGTGAGTCTTCGGCAGTTCAGATCAAACCCTTTGGTTGCTGAATCATCTTCCAGCCGTCCAACAGCTCAAGACCTGGGCGGTGAGGTGTCGTTTTGAGTCGTTTTGGGTTTCTTTTTCAATGTGTTCCTTTCTTTCCTCCCCCCACTGGGATGCCCCCCAACTCTCTTTGTGGTGGCATGGCCTTGCTTCGACGCTTCACTTCGGGTTCAGGTTGCGGCTCACATTTGGGGCACGTCTTCTACGATGCCATCTCTGAGGCGCAGACCACGACGGTCCACCGTAGACGCCGCCGACTTCACATGAAGCAGAAGCATTGCCCCAAATCGACATCGGTGCACTAGTGGCTTCGACATCCCTGGTGAAACACATCGTGGAACATAGTGCAACATCTATAGGTATTCGATCTAACCGGGAGAGTGACCAACCGTCACTGCCACCCTACTGGTCACACACCCAAACCACCCATACCATCGATGATTCAAGTCGAGTGCACATGAAACATGCGTTTGTCGCCATAATTTGCCATCTATGACATACACCAACTACCGAGTGCCGAGTGCATTTGTTGTGGAATGTCTTGGAAGATATGAAGAGGTGCATCTACTGTACATGTTCTACATTGACTTCACGCCTGAAGAAAAGCACCTGTCACCTGTTGCTATATGACCCAAACCCTCGAAAAAATCAATTTGGCCAATCCTAGGCCAATCCCAATGGCGAACGACACTGAGCCAACGGGCTCTCCCTCCAATACCTGGAGGGGGAGCCTGAAGAGGACTGGGCTATCCAGGTTGACGAGGGCTGGAAGAACACCTGGGAACACGTGGGCAGGGCAAATGATGGTCAATGGATTAGCAGTGTTATAGATGGGCTGGGCTCTAGTCGATGTCCCTTCTTCCACGGGGTGGAGCTGGGAGGTCTCCCTATTTAATACACGGCCAAATGGAGCCGGCTGGTTTTTCGGAAAAGGCGCCACCTTCGGGCGGTGAAAACAAGATCCCCAGGGATCGTTGTTCACACACGGTGTGTGCGACAGGATGAATGACATTAGTTTGGTGGAACCAATGAAGCTGCCATGATTTGCTTCTGCTCGATGTCTTCCTCCAGCTCCTACACCCACGACCGTCAAGAACCACGCCAAGAAGGAGGTGCCCGAACACCCACTCACGATCAATGGGATTCAAGACCGCCGGCAGCGGCTTTGCGAAGGGGAGCGAGCGAAGGCAAGCAAAGGCTCGGGTATCGAGCTTCCCCATGAAAAACACCAGCAGAGGTTGAAGAACCCTACAGACTGTCCCCATTTACGGTACTGCAGGGTCTGATCTACGGTCGAACCTCTCTTGGGGAGCCGGGTGACTCGGAGAGACCATTCAATCTGCCCTTCACCCTCAAACGGAGAGACCGTCAGGCTAAGTCGGACGAGAGACCATCCGGCACCCGACGATGGATCAGATCGAGTGTCCAGGAGCTGACCGAGGCCAAATTGAAGATTGTATAGAGGAAGTGTATGGCAGGAAGGAGGGAGTCATTCCACAGTATTTTGTTGTGTAATGTCATGGGAACCAAGGTTTCAAAGGATGAGGGAACTTCATTTTCAATATGTGTTTCTAGGGTCTGTCACGGTCTGTCCTAGAAACCTGTAACAGTCAGT